CGGGTTTCGAAAATGGCTACGGACAATCTGTTGGAGAGAGCTACTGGTCACTAGAGTGTGAGCGATGAAATAATCCGGCGAATAGGAGCCTTCATCCGCCATTTTCCGGTGGTGCGTATTCAACAAGCAAGAGGATTTTGGCGGTTCTTGAATTCAGGAAGAAAATTGATGAGTTTTTTCTTCAGTAGATTTTTATCAATTATTATATGCGTCCATCGATCTCATCACGATTGATCGATGGAAACTTGACTCTCCTGCAGAGTGCAACGATGCGTGAGCTTTCTGAGAAAGGATTATAACGGGATAAGCCTATCAAATAATGAAAAATGAAGATAAGGAATATGAAGGTTTAGCCAGTTGTTTTAGAATTTTTTTCATAATACTTTTTTGTAGACTTGTAAGGCCAATTCATATATGTTCTAACTGAGTTCCAATACTTGTCATATAGTGGGATCCTTGGTTGAGCTTACGTATCTGTTGACACTGGCATGGTGTATATGTTAACAAATGAAAGGTGTCAGTAGTGTGTTTGATGGTGGAACCTGTGGCTATGTAGAGTTTATATATCTTTAATAGTCGATCAGGATATAATGTATATTTAGGATACGTTGTCGATCATGATATGTTAACCTTGGAGAAATATTTCAGCTTGTGTTTAATTGATATCCCCATTTTACTGGTCACTTATATTTTGTGATTTTCTGATGTCCTAACCTTTTCTCTCAATCCGATCACTGCATTTTCCTTTCTTTTTCTTTTTTATTTTTTTGGAAAGAATGATCTCGTATATTCCAGGTTTGTGGTTGACAGTTTGTTGCATAGGCGGAAAATATGGTTTGAAGTTGGGCAGGATGACAACCTTCTCTGATCGTTTATTACTTTTGGAGGATCCTTAAGAGTTTAAGTGCTTCACGTGACGAGAAGATTGCTGGAGACAGCCCTTCCCTCATGTGCACACTCTCAGAGGGTTCATCTCCTCTGCTTTGGCTTTTGAAGTCATTAAGTGCAGTTATAGGGGATCTCTCTGCCAGATGAATATATGGTGAAAGGTGTCCTCTTTGACCAGAGTGTACATTATTAGAAGTAAAAGTGTTTGATTAATTATTATCCTCTCATTTTCTTTATGCTAATGATACAGCGATTTTAGCACAATAACAATGAATGATGCATAAGGCCCGTCTTGTAATAAAAGAGAGCTTCTTGGATTTATCTCTTTTCCCATGCTACAAGATACTTGCACGTTCTTCCTTTCCTTTCCAATTCTTGGTTCTATTTGTTGGACTCTAGTCTCTTGGGGCAAGATATATCTCAGGCTTAGAAAAGGAGAGTAGTGATTTCCGTAGATGAACTTATTTACACGATCAGCATTATGTTTGGTTACAGCTTGTATTTGCCGAAATTTAGTTACAGAACTAATTGGGGCGTGCATTTGCAAAATTATACTAAAACAAAAGAAGCCAAATCTAATCGACAATGAAGGGACTTATAAAACAAAAGAAGTCAAATCTACTCGACAAGAATAAAAAAAAAAAAAGGACACTATTTCGTGACTCCTAAGTAACTTTGAGCAAAGATGAATACAATGAAAAACCAATCGGATACAAAATTTCAGGTTTCTTGAAAGAGGAAAATTCCAGCGGTTTGAGTATGAAAACAAAAGGAAGATTCGATTACCTTCCCATCAATTTGATTGGGTACCTTCCCAAAACGTTTGCTCGCGGACACAAATTCATGAATCACCTAATTAATTAATTAAGGGGAAAAAAAATTTCCCAATAATATTAATTTGTACGCGTGTTTCCTAATAGAAACGGGGAAAATTAAACATGTACGAGTATATATATATAGTTATTATGTGCGAAGACAAAGCATTACTATTATTGTTATTAGTCAGGCTGAGGCAGCAAGGATCGAATTCCTCTTATAAGAATATTATTGGCAAAGAAACCACGGTAAACTACTGTAGGGTGCTAAGAATCCCCGTCCAACCCTAAAGTTTACCAAAGAAGAACCATGTCTCAAGTCGGCGGCGATCCTAGGGATATGAGAACCGCGTGTTTTGGGCTGATATTCCTTCTAGGGATGTATATATGTTTTTCAATGTTGTCGGAGTTGATAGTTTACTCTATACCGGAAAAGATGCTCCACGAGTTAATCTATGTGATATTCCTCCTCCCGGCTACAGTATTCGTTTTGTGTTCTATAGGGTGGTTCCTAAACAGTGTTGTGATGTACGGTTGTGGTGAAGAGGCCAAATTGATGATTCCCAGTACCACGTGTAGTCCGGGAGAAGATAAGTGGCCATCCGTTGATTTTGTGACATGTATCTTGGTAACATTGATTGGGTCTAGATTTAGGATTTGTGTTGTACGAACCCATGCGAGGGTTTCCCTTTAGGTCTTTTGAGGCGTTTCAGTTGGGACTTGTAGAGGACTTGTGTTATACTCAGTCATATGACCGTCCTCAAACTATTTTCGGAAACACATTTTGGTACAGAATTTGTTTAATGTCGATTTCCTCCTCCTTGCTTTTTCGATTTCCGAGTTTGGCCTTCAGCCCTTTCAGATAGCTGATAGCTACACACTTTTCTGGTCAGAGTGCAGATGACTGGCCTGAGCTTCTAAGTTTGAAGCTAATGATCCTCTATAGTGGATGATTGTTTCATTTTTTGGGTCAAAAGCAATGATTTTGTGAATGTAACAGATTGAAATACTTCGGTAGAATAATCAAAAAACTATCTCCGCAAGTGAAACATGCAACTCTAATAAAGCTTAAAGCTCTGAAGGAAACTTAACACTCATCAAATTTCTTTCCAGAGACAGGTTGTTCTATAAGAAGGAACAAGCATGAGTAGACATCAAGCAGTAATTTTTTGCCCGACCATCATTTTAGGTTGTGTTTACTCAAGTTTGCCATTGGGGTTGGTGATTTTTTACGTGCTGTAGAAGATCTCACAGATCACACATTCATGGCTATTATTCACCATTAGTATTTCTTTTAAAATTTGTATCATTGACAGTAGTGCTCATTTTACAGCATCTTCGTTTGTCATTATTGAGGTACTATAAATATTTCAAAGAAGTCAATATCACTTGATTTTGTTGTATAGTTCTATCTGTCTTTTGTACTCCATTGCTATCCTCTCAAAGAAATATGTGGCTTTTCATTTTGAACTTGACATAAATTTTCTAAAAAATACCTTTTTCTATTAGTTTAACCAATCATGTGTCAAGAAGAAGGGGAGACATCAACTTTACATCTATGCGTGTTTCTCGTTTGGAGTTCGATTATTTCCCATTGATGAAAGTTATTTTTGTTTGCAGGTTTGTCCCATCTGTTCTGTTAAAGTTGCGCGGAACATGTTGAGTCATATCACTCTGCAACATGGACACTTATTCAAGATATCCTTACATGGAAATGACTTTATGATACATGATGGGCATTAAAAACACGTTTTCCATCTCAATCATCTGCATAAATGCACATTTTAGTTTTCGTAATCTGAATTTAGTTGATATTTCTTTAACTTCAGACTACTTGCAGCGGCGTCGTAGGTTACGTAGAGTTGCAGTTCCTAGTAGTCAAGCACTGTCTCTATTGGGCAGAGATCTAAGGGAGGCCCATTTACAGGTTCTTTTAGGAGGCAGTGGCTACAGATCAAACAATACAACTTCATCCGTTGCAATTACTGATCCTCTACTTTCATCTCTTGTCCTGAACTTTCCTGCAACTGAAGCTGAAGAAATTTCAAAAACTCTGGCTTCAAGTCTTGAGGATGCTTCACCAAAGTGTGTGCCTTTACAACGTACATGGAAATCAAGGTAGCACGATATATATGCTTTCTTTGGGAATTTTCTTTTTAGCTCTTATTTTTTCTAGTACCCAATAGGGATTCTAGGTGCAGAATTAAGTTGTTGCCTTGTGGTTTGAGATTATCAGTTTTGTTTGCACTTAAGCTATCCCACCAAAACAGTCCTTTATAGAAATATGAGATACGGCTCCCAATATGCCTTAATTGGCTGACTCATCTCCCAGGCCATGCGTACAGAAACTCCTATTGGCGTACCTCAAGTTGGTTGCTTCGTATCGACACTCCACACGTTTTGCAACTCTCGTCATTTTTCACTCTTTTCTTGTCGTCGGGATTTTACTACGATATACCGATCGTGATGTCAAAGATTCGCTTACGCTTGCGTTTCCTGTTGTTGTGGCCTTATTTGCTGTGGTAAGTAAAGGATTGATATCTCTATTTTGCCCCTTTTTTCAATTCTTTTTGTTTACTAATCTTTTTATTTTGCATGTTTGTTTCAGTTTATCCGGTCTAATCAGAAAGTGTCACCCTCAAAATTTTTCCTATCTTTTTTGGATAATAATTATGGGACGGAGGGAGTATTATTTATGAATTTTTGTGCGATTTAGGTATAAATATAATACGTACTATTAAATTTCCGCCATCAAATATAGGAGTAACAAATTCCAAATCAGTGCTTACAATAGCCATAATTTTATACATGTATACTAATAAAATGGTCCCTCGCTGGTGGATCATCGTTGTTTATCATTTTCTTTCCTTGGTCTTCAGGTCCTTTTGGATCGCAGTATAAAGATCATGGGCATTCGATAAACTAGAACGCCTATAAAACTATACACTAAAGTTTGAATCATCAAAATATGTAAACCACATGATATTTCTAAACCTTCTCTAGGCAATAAATCTGCTCTTCCAGTACATTCTCAATATTTGCGTTTAATTTACGTTGCATTGTAATACAGATTTGATTTACCAAAAATGAGAAGGTTGTTGTCCCGTATAAATCTTCATCCTATCCCGTTGGACTTTTATTCAGCATTTTTTTTATATGCATGTATATTAACCATTTTTTTAAATTTATATTAAATAATAATACTCTTATGTGTCTCAAAATTATTATCCAATTTGAACTTTCACTTTTAGTCCAATTTCTACTAATCTTCAAAAAAAAAAAAAAAAACTGCTAAAATGAAATTCTAAATTAGACAATAATTTTGAGACGGTGAAGGTTAAAAAAATTGTAAACCCCTTAACACCATGATGATGAATGAATAACAAGCTATACGGAGAAATAAAATCCGGGATACTAACTAAACCCCAAATTTTAGCTCCAACAACACGTTGTCATCAACGGAGCCCCTAAAATCAGGATTCAATGACTCAATATGCATACAAATCCAATCTTCCTAATCAATTTTAATTTTCAAAAAGAAGGCAAAAAAAGAAAAATCATCGCCACTCTATTTTTTCCTGATTCATCCTCTCAACTTAGGTTCCATTTAGTTTGAGAACGCGAAGATTCAAACAATCAATTTATCAGGGGTGAAGTATCCTTTTACGTCAGGAGATTGAGGTTGGCTCTAGTAAGGCGATTAAAGATGAGAATAGAATGGGAGTCTTCGAGAATGACAAGCCAGCCGTGGGAGGAGTGGCGGAAGCGACAGGTGTGGTGTAAGGCTACAGGGAGGCCTATATTACATAGCCAGAAGACCTTCTCATACTTTGCCTTGATACTTGAAGTACAACTTGTAATCATTCTGCAATGTGGCCAGAGTGCTTCTGCAAGGACCCTCTACGGTACAGTAAAGAGGGACGGATCAAAATATGTAAGTGGGAAATACTATTCAAGCAGCCACCATTACCTAAAAGCTCCTTTTATGATACTACTTTTTGCACGGAAAATAAAGAGGGCTCACCTCCAAACTCTGTGTGAAGTCGCTGAAGATCATCAGCTGAACAGACATCAATTAAAGCATAGATGCCGGGCCTCAAAGCTTCGTCTACTTCTCTATGAAAATTTTTCGAACCAGCTCACACAATGTTAACATTTGTATATGGAAAGAATGATGTCACAAATGATGAAGGGAGCAGAATGAAAAATTCCAGTGTGCAAAACAGGAAGTCAGCAAACTACCTTATGATGCCCATTTTACGAGGACCAAATCCACAATAGACCAATATGTAACTGGCTAAAAGTTGATGACAATAGCGACCCATCAAATCTTTCTTCTGATGTATCTGTATACACAAGAGAACAGAATGACCAAATGGGAAAACTAAGGATAAGGACAGCAAGGTGATGAAAAACAATGTTTGATTCATCTCTTAAGCCTGGAAAAATATCTTCCGATAAAGAAACTAGAGTGAAGAGTATAATAAAATTTGGGAAGCAAATGAAGAAGAGGTAAAAATATCTTAGCATGGGAGAAGAGAAACCCATAAAGCTCCCTATCATTACAGTAACAACTTAGCCATTATTCCCTATATCTGGGACCGGCTAGATGGATCACATATTGCCTTCGTGCTGAAATCGTTTCATCATCAGCATAAAGAAAATGAGAGGATGGTAATTAACACTTACTTCTTCGTACACTCTTCTCAATGAGCAGGCACATTTCACTCCATCTTGAATTCCCCATGTGAAATCATTACCCCGACTTATGGCTGAATTTTTTATCATTACCATCTCCAAACACTGAAGAAGGGTACCAACTGAATTTTGGAGAAGGGCACAGCAATGCTGTGTCTCCCTAATGATCACGAGAAGCACAAAAACAAAAATGTCATAACAAGAGGAAGAATATCACTAATATTGGCCACGGAAAGGTCCCACAGAAAATTTATAGTTGCCAAAAGTAAATTCTATGACGCAAATAACAGTGAAAAAGCCAGCATACCTTGCACAATGCTTAACAACAGAACATAGCAGCCGGCAACATCCAGCATATAACTCCAACAAATATCTTCGATCTAAGGAATCAAGTTCACGGTGAGCTTCAAAGAATTGAATCTGGAGGATATTCTGGAACAATGCGCCGGGAATATTTAGAAATTGCCCAACATGGGAGGCATCAATCTCGAATAAAGCATGTTTTCCTGGGACTCTTCTCAATATATCGATGCATGCAAGTATCATTGACCCAGGATCTGGACTAGTACAGATTCCATCACAATTCACAGTTTCAAAGTAAATGTCCGGCCCCTGAAGGTGTAGGATAATATTGAGGAGACAAGCAACCAGGCCTTGAAAATGTTTCTTTGCATCTTTTACTCGTTTGCGCCCTGAAAGCTCAGAAAAATAGTATTCGCAGAAAAAGATACTATGAGATACATAGAGAAAAATTTAATATTTATTATGCTATTTAAAAAGGATCCACGAATTCACAAAAACCAAAAAATTAAGTCTTTATCAAAATAGGACCCCCTTCAAAGTAATGCCTAGCTACTGCAGTAATATCATTGTGCGTGTAGGACAAAAAGAGAGTATGTTATGGAATAAGAACATGGAATGCACGCACAAAAGATCGGATAATTCAACAGCGAACAGCCTATTACTATTTCTTTGATGTTGTGTAGGTAAGAGGCTAAGAGCTATATAAACAGAAGAGAAATACTTGCCTGCCACAAGTTCCACAAGCAGATCCAAACAATCAATGCCACCAGCAACTGTAGAAGTCGCCGTACCACCATCGGAACTGCCCAGGCATATTTCATAGTTAGACAAGCAGCCATCTTGCACTCCCACAATTGCTCTCTCGGTAGCTTGAATTGCTGATGACAACAACTCCGGTGATTTCTGGACCAAAACCCTAAATGACATCCTCAGTCCAGCTTTAAAGCTACCAAGGTAGTGACAACTTCCGCTCGATACAAAGGACTGAGGATTATTGGTTATCAAATTCATTGGATCTTTGATATTTGACTCTAACTCCTTAGATGCAAGGGTAGCCCTTTTCCCCTCTAAAACTATGCATTTCCCCATAGACCTCAGATGCAAGTCAATTAGTTTCACAAATAACTTACTGGACAAAGTAGGACTTGATGAAGAAAAAAAATAACCCAATGCCTCAAGAAACTTACCGACCCCATCCAATAAAACAAAAGAATAAGGGGGCGGCATGGAGACCATGTTGTTGAATTCCATCAGTAAAACCTTAGAAATACCAAAGAGAATCGGTATCAGATTTTCCAACAGGGAAGTATCCTTGAACTCCAGCTTGAGTCTTGTAATTGCTGAAGCAGAAAGTAATAACTGCTGGAGGAAAAGCGCCACGTCTGGATTCTCGCCTCTCAGAAGACCTTGCAAAATGGTCTTCTTCAAGCACAGCTCATTAAATAATCCAACACTGATCAGAAGAGAATCAACATCAGCATTTACTGTATGTGGCTTTTGTTTCAGAACAGTTTCATGAGGCACAGCGTTTGTGTTGTCATCAACCTCAGTATCAGATTCTGAGATGTCAGTCGTCTTACAATGTTCCGAACTTTGGTTAAGGTCACCCTCAACAAACAATGAATGTAAGAAATCAATCAAGGATTTTGCACATTCTTCTAAAAATCTGTTCACCTGGCTGAGAGATTCAGTGTTACATTTGGAAAGTTTTACTGTATTGTTATCTTCTCTGGCACCTGTATTCTCAAGCGTAAAAGCTAATCCCCAAAGGAAGCCTTGAATACAAGACAGTACAGATGTTAATTTTTTCAACTTCAGAAGCTCAGCCGCAGCTCCAAACTTTTCACTTGAATAGCCCTTCTTGTGTTCCCTAAAAATTTCACTCAAAAGAGTCAAACTTTTCAGCAAATCATCATCCCTTGAACAATATGAATTTTCTTTTGATTCAGTCCTGGAAAACCGTCGTGCAAATTGAAATTGGTATTTTGCTATTGTCATGAGCACATATGACGTATGATTTGTCAATGAAAATAACATATCTTGCACTTGGGAAGCAGTACATTTTTCTGATGATGATGTCTGGATTCCCGTAACTGCATTTAACGAGTTCAAAAGCCATAGCAGAGAAGATGAACTCTCTGAGAGTACGCGCATAAGTGAAGGCCGAACTTCAGCCATCTTCCCATCACATGAAGCACATAAACTCTTAAGGATCCTCCGACAAGTAACAAACAATTGGAGAAGATCGTCATCATGGCCACCTACAAACAATATTTTCCGCCGATGTAACAAACTGCCAACCACAAACCTGAAATACACGAGCTTATACTTTTAAATAAAGCTTAGACAACAATCGGATTGAGATAAAAGATTAGGAATGCAGAAAATCATAAAAAATTAAGTGACCTGTAAGTGGGACGAACAATTAACATGCAAGCTGAAATATATTCCCAAGCTAACTTATTTGTCCCAGGTACAGTAAATTGTACCAGTAAATTTTTGTTTAGGCAACATATATCCTCAACTATTAAGATAAACTCTATATAGCCACAGGTTCTAACATCTAACTTGGTGATGGAACTTTTCATCTGTTAACAAATACACCATGGCAGAGTCAATAGAGATGCAAGCTCAACCTTGAATCTCACTATGAAACAAATGCCGGGACCTTGTCAGAACATATAAGGGTGGGCCACACGACTCTACAAAAATCAATATGAACTGAATTTTAGAACAACTGCCTAAATCTTTTCATGCGTATCTTTATTATTATATTATGCTTATCCAGTTATTATCCTTTCTCAAAAAGCTCCCTGCAAAAGAGTCAAGTTTTCCCCAAACAAATGTAATGGAACAGATGGCAATTCTACTCCTTTTCCTAAATTGACTTCTCCAATAAAGTAAGGAAATTGAGCACATACCGTTCCACATTGAGAGTGCAAGTTGCCAATTTTGAGAAAGATTTTGAGCTTAAAACATCTTTAGGCATCCAAGCCAAGAAATTAAGCAAAGCACAACACAACGGATAATTGATGCTCCTAGAAGCAGCAAATTGTATTCCAAGAGGACTGAGTTTTGTCAGTAAAGCTTCATTAGTTTTTTCACGCTTTTTCCCCCTGGACACACCATTAGATACAGTTTCAAGGCTTTGTATAACTTCCGACCAATCAGGTTTTGAATTTAGGTAGCCCTTCTCAGAATCAGAAGATGTCAATGATGACTCCAAAATTCGGCGAACCCTTGATACTATATGCCTGCAAAGAAACTAAGGCACAAAAAGTTAAAATTATGCAAAAAATGACTTTAACTTTCACAAAAAGTTAAATTGTTGCCTATAAGCTGGGGTTAAAGCCAGGGGTCAGACCCAGTGAAAAAGAGCTGGCAACAACCCTCCTGACTCGTTAAAGACTAAAACTGGTGAATGAATGCTTGCCATTTGAAGACAGAATGATATCTTACTCTTTGTTCATAGTGCCCAATGTCACTCAGAAGTTCAAGTGAGATGTGATGTATGGTAAGATTTTCCATGTCGCTAAGCTCATCATCGCCATTTGATCTACATTTATTCATTTGTGGACTTCCTGAGGAAAGACCACTGCCGATCAAGCACGTAAGAAAATTCTGAAGGTCTCTTTTATCGGCATGACCACACCATATATCAACATGCTGACAAGCAATCCACCAGATTGAAGATTGCAATGACCTTAGATTCAGAGAACCAATGCTAATATCCCAAGAAGCATTATGTTTATGCTGCAGTTCACAAACTGATGAATTTTCTCTAAGCGTGTTGCTATATGATGCAGATACTGGATAACTCTTAATCAATGATGAAAGCCAATGCATGATGTGCTTGGTCAGACCAGATGCTTCTTGTTTCATTTTCAAGAGGCACTTCCTCCACTTTTTAGTTCTCTTCTGCAACAATGATATTTCAGAATCATCATCTGGCATGCTATCCTCCAATTTATCTTTTTGTGCTAGTAAATACTCCAAGGAGTTCAACCTCCCATTTAGATCAATAATCCTCTGAATGGATAAGGCATTCAAAACGTAAACCAATGGCGGGCAAGTTCCCAGGTTTTCTTGCAGATAAATATTTGAAACATTGTGCATTATGCTAAGGAGAGTAGCAGAAGGCTTGTTAATCCAAAAAAAATAGCCTTCTTCATACTGAAATATTCCCTCCAACCAATCTTTCCCGGAATAAGCTGTATGAACACCCATAGTGTTTGACATTTTTATAGATAAATCTGGAGGCACAAGGCTGATTACTTCTTGGTATAAGCTTCGGCTTGATAAATAGAGACGGAAAAAGAACACTAAGATCCAGCACAACACAGAATCCTCATCAAAGCTAGCTCCCCAACTGTGAGTTCCTCCAGAAACCACGCAGAAAAACTTTTCCATAACATCAGGCTGGAGTGAATCCTTGCTAGTTGAACTGTAGCTAATTAGGGACACTAATTTTTCTATTGAACGACCAACTGTAACACTATTACCAGAAGTGACAATCACGGAATCCAGAATTAATGTGTATAGTTCTGCTAAAATTCTACCTAAAAGTTCTGCCGAATTACTTGAATGACAAGATTGAAGTTGAGCATTCAGCCAATTCAAAGATTCAGCAATATCTGAAGTCAGTAGATGAATGCAAGCGCTTGATTGCCCTTCTGGGATGGTCTTGATAGCATTACTGACAGAAAGCCTAAACTTAGCAGAGCAAATCAGTCCACTCAATGAAGTAGAATATGAACTGTAAGAATGGGAACGGTACAATTCATTCTCTACAAGGGCAGAAGCCAAAAGCCTCACAGCCTTAGAGAGAGCAAAAATTGAGTTGTTCACCTGCATTCATTTTCACACGAAAATCAAAAAGTTAAGAATGAATTAGAGGAATACGGCATAATAAATGTTGAGATCATTGAGGGAAATTTTTCCACTTTTTAGGCAGTTAAATCTCTAGATTCACATGTTATAAGCACTTAAAGCAATGGTCTTAGTAGATGGCATCTATACAAGATCTTCGCATCTTCGAACAAAACATGAGATGTGTCACCACTGACAGAATCAACCACCAGAATTTGCAATTTGAATGCTCAGAAACAATATGCAACAAATAAAAAAGAGGCCTACATCACAAATAAACAACTGCATCAAATATATATAGATAGGGCACTCAACCAACCTGTCGAAGTTCACTATAGAGGTCTATAAGGCTGCAACCTAGATCAAGTGTTTCTGAACACAAAAAGTGCTGATCTGGCACATCTATCATAGAGCGGCTGCATGCTGTGAATGTCAAGGTGACTACCCATAAGCCTTCTAGATCATCACCAATCACCTCATATCCTATGTCAATTAAGTGATGCAAAGCAGTTATTATCTCCTTCGCTATTGAAAAAAGCACCTCTTTTTCAAATCCGTAATCAGACGTGATGGACAATAGCATTGGGTGTTTAATTCTAGCAGAAAAGGACATAATAGTTTGATATACAAACTTCAGGAAATTGATGAAAGCCCCTTCAGAAGTATCTTCCACCCTTACATACAAGTTTTCGCCTTTAAAGCTGGCTAGCAACTTATTTGCAGATCTCAACATGGAGAGGACATCAGACAATGAAGTCCTGCCATTCAATTCAGCTTCTTCAGCATATGAATTGATACGTGATATGAAATGCTCCGTGATTTGGATGAAGAAATCAAAAAGTTGGTTGCGTGTTTCAGAATTCAGAATACCTGACGTATTACCCCTTTCAAGGGTGCACCCATTAGACCCCTTTTCTCCAATAGTTGAAATACCGTTTTGCTTTTTCACACAATTTACAAACAAGTGAAGCAACTCCCCTACGCCACCTACAGGCTGTCCATTCTGACTCGTGATCTTCTCCAATTTTTCAAATAGGTGCCTGTGATAACTTCTAACCGTATTCTGTCTTGATTTTCCACTATCTGGGGCTCCTTTGTACTTGATTGAACTACGCAAACCCAAAAATCCATCAATATTAATCGGGTGGAATATTCCCTGAGACAATACCTCTTCAACTAATTTCAGTAAGTTTCCTGTCCATCCTGAGTTATTCTTGGAGGGAAGAAGATGCAACTCATCCAAGAGATTCATAAGTGGCTCAAGAAGTCTATCAACGAAACGTTGGAACTTCATCTTACAAGCTGGATGGACGGTCAAAAATTTAGCAAATGCCTCGAGCAAATAACATGAGAACTGAATGATTAAGACCCCTGCCTTACTGTCATCCAAATTTTTCTTACGGACTTTCCAGAGAAGTTCGAATGCTTTTTCCAAGTGCGTCATCCAAAAGTCCAGACTGTCATTTTGAATTCCGCCATGGCATGTAAGTACCATTGAAACGCAATTGAGCACAGTATCAAGGAAGCCCGAGCTTTCACAAGCCAATTTTGAAGCAGAATTCAACTGGATCAAGGCATCCCTAGCTACGCAATCAATAACCGACAACATTTCTCCTTTCAATTGCAATGATACATTTGTTTTCAGGGACTCCTCGAAACAAAATTTCAAAATAACCCAACACCTATAGTCTAGACAAGAGCCTGAGGTTTCCAACTGCCTGTCATATCCTTTATCCCCAATGTTCTTCTCAGAAGAAATCAATAAGTCCTGAATCCAGTTGTTGACAAACACTATCAATCTTGAAGTGCTAACTGTCTCCAACGCTCGAGAGGTTCTAACGTCTTCTTTTTCTTCATTATCAGCTCGAAACTGCACATACTTAAATGTCGTTTCCAGCTTTCTGCATTTTCACGGTTCTAGAATTAAAAAACAATAGATACCCAAAAACAATAACATGAACTGTTCACCAAAATCTCAGTTTAAATATAATTAACATCCCAAAATCTCAGAGTATAATTGAACAGAAAAGAATGCGGAGCACAATTTATGCGTTGTACCCATGCACAAGCAAGCAAGCCAGCTAACAATGCAACTCCTTCAAAAACAATTTATGGGCTGACCTTGAATCATCAATATGTTTGTTCTGAAGAAGCAAAATCATCTGTAAATTCACCCATGGAGATTTCTGTTCAAAATTCACGTCTGATGAATTCTCTCGTGTCCTTTTAGGAGGTGGTCCTTGAACTTCTTCTTCCCCTCCTCCGGAATGCCTTTGCTTTCTCTTCTCCTCTTTCTTCTTTTTCTCCTTTCTCGCAGAGCCATCTTCTTTTTGTTTTCTCCCCTCAGAATCCGCCATTGTTTGCTTTTGGGAGCTTTCCAAACAGAGGGGAGAGGTTTTTGGCTGGAGGGTTTAGGTGGTGAGTTCAAAACAATGAAACATTAGACGGCGCCGTTTTGTGTAACCATTGGGCTCTAGGAAAAGCTGCAACTGCCAACCAGATTGAAGTGGGCTGGTAAGTATTATCCATGATGTTAAGGGCTCAGAAAGAAAATATTTAGGCCCAGTTTAAATGACTTTGATGATAGAATGATTAATGTAACGCACTTCACAAGGTATTCATATGTCACTACAATATTTTTTTAAACATGCCCCAAAATAATTATATCCATGGTAGAAAAATGATAATACTATAACTAGTGCGTAACTCTAAATACATTTTATAATTTCCATTGATGAGATGGATCATTTTATCTTTCCATGCTATGCATTACATATACTACTTATAACTACATCATCACATGAATGAGTAAATAAAAGCCATGTTATGGTTATGGAGGGAAATTGTTTTGCCGCTAACATAGTAAATGATAATTAACTTATCTAATTTTGTGGGCTCTAATTCGGAAGTAGTAAAATGCATGTGATCCCACACAAAATAATACTCCCTCTGTCCCAAAATTATTGTCCAGTTTGAGATTTCACTTTTAGTTCGATTTGTACTAAAAATAAAAACTCAAATTGGACAATAATTTTGGGACGGAGGGAGTAATCATAAAAAAAAAAAAAAAAAAACTCACTTATAGTCCAAATTGAGTACGAGGTTGAAGAATCACGTTCATTTTTCTGAAAATCCGAAACCATTTAGGCTTTGTTTGTTTGGATTTTTTGATGGTATTTTCAGAATATTTAAATAATAATTGTCCCATCCCAGCATATTTTTTTACATTTTTAATACATTTTTTTACATTCTCAATACAAAAAACACCTAAAAACACACACTAAAAAAACAAAACAAACATACTCTTAACTTCATGAGCTACTTTAGATGGGGAAAAGAAGGAGAAAGGGGATTTGGAAATTTATTAAATGCTGCTTGTTAAAAAAGATAACAGCTTGTTAGCAAATTCAAAGTCTAAAAGGAGGGATCACTGGGTGACCAAATGAACTACTACAAATCTGTACTAGCCCCATAAATGTATTAAGGACTAAATTTCCCAAGTTAGATAGATCACAAGTGAAAGAACCATAGATGCTCTATCCCTTCACCATCACATCGATCTTATGATTGTTGTTAATAACTACATACTTTTCAAAATGTAAGCCTTTTTTTTTTTTTTATTTGGGTTATGTGAAAATATATATATTTTTTTGTAGAATGTAAATTTTATTGCACTTCAACCATCCAAAAGATCGCATATTTACATCCATTTACATTTTCCTAGCAATATTACAATTTTACAATACTGCTTTGATTTCAAAATGTCAAAATACAGATTCCTAAACCTTAGTATTACGTTACCATAAGCCTTTGGACTGCAGGAAACATTGCTCACTTGCTGCTGGGTAGTATACCAACTATACTTCTTTGGTAAAGTGGTAGTATACCAAAACATGCTCTACTGTTTCTAAATTCTGATGACATATTGGATAGTTACAGTCTTCCAGGTTCATTCCCATCTGCATTAGTCGATCTCTGGTGAGGAGTCTGCCCTGCCATGCCAACCACAGATTGCAGTAGTGCCTAGGCGCATTCAGCCTATTCCAGATAACTACTGATGCCTTTTTCTTAAGCAATCTTCCTTTCAGAAATTGCACCCTTGATGAAATGTTATAGACCCCATCCTGACGATTTCCCCACTTGTTATCCCTAAACCCTTCATTCAGTTTATGTCTGATCCCCAAGAGCTTTTTTCAATGCCAGTTAGAATCTTGAATTTCCAATATAGTACTTTTAATGCATATTTTTGTTTATTTTGTCTAATTTACCGTTGTCTCTATAACATACCATTATCCTAATGTGTATAATTACTCATTGTATCCCCGATACAACTGCTTATTTAATTATGGTTCAACTAAACTTTTTATCTTTACTAATAGTTAACTATTAATATTTGTGTCACTCAAAGTGGACTTACATTTTCCTCTTGAAAACGAGGGAGTATGATGTTAATGAAATAATGGTTTTTGGAGCTACAATTTTTTTTAGTTCGTCCAAAAATAATTATGTATTTTATAATACGAAAAAGATAACGAGTTAGTAATTGAATTTAGAGAACATAACCACTCATCAATTTTTGCTTTATTGTGTTTTGGAAAAGAGTTGTCTATACTGTACAATGAATGATTATTTATAAACTGTAAATATCTTCAAAAGAAAAAAAAAAAAACTGAAAAAGAAATGCGTTACAGGTTGGATGACACTGTGACTACAAACAACCAGCAGTCCCACGGCCGTGACTGATTCAATTTTTTTCACAACACACGGAGACGGAGCTGTGCCGTTTTGTTCCGTAAACCTGATTCCCTACAACTGTTAGATTTCCGTAACGTTGTTCTTGAGAATTGAGAGGATGAGTTGATTGGGATTATCATCAACCCCCAACAAAAATGCCTGCCTCTCCCCTTGGCCTACCCGTTTGATTTTCTGGGTCCCTACTCAAGAATTAAAATAGTAAAAACCTCAAGGCAGCCAAAAGATCTTTGTGAAAAATACAGTGTATCGTTGTTGTCCTTTTTCTGAAGTCGGTTTTCTCTCCCATTGAATGTCATTTTCAGCGATCATTTGATTATTTGATTGCTTCTTTCATTCACTCAGCTCATTCCGGGGGTTTTCCAAGTGGTGGGTTCTGTTCATCTTTTCCTTTTATTGTTTATTATTGTAATTTGATAATAATTGATGATGTACTTTTCATGGCATCTTAATTAATTAATTGGGGTCTCTGTTTTACTCTTTTTTAATATATTCATCTTCTTTTTAACCTCTCCATGCATGTGGGGTTCTTCGATTCTTCTTTCTTGATCTATGATTCTCAGTTGAAAAATCTATACCGGGGATTTCTTTTCCTTTTTTTTTTTTTTTTTTTTCTGTCGTCATTTCCACTGTTTAATGCAAAAAGGGAAACAGGGTATTATACTCTTCTGCTTGTCGCGATTTTAATTTTTTTTTTTTTTGGAAGTTTTAACCACATTAGCCCCATCAGTTCTTGTCCAACCCGTCATCCCAATTCTCGACAAAAAAAATGGCGTTCACGTGAGTTTCTTGCGTGTTCTTGTTGAACCCACATCTTGTTTGTTGTATAATGATTAACGGATGTTTCAATTTGAGTTTGTTGTTCGTTTTGAGCTTTTCTTTGAAGACATATATACGTAATTGAACTTGATAAGAACTGTTTCTTTTGAGTAAATTCGCGGAGATATGATCCGTAGGAATTTGTTGTTACTTTGATGTTTCCTGTTTCAAATCTTGATGATCTTTTTTGTGTGTGACATGCAGAGAGTGAAGCTACTAACATCCTCAAGTGAAGTCAATTTTGCTTGAGGGAGATTAGATAGGATGGATTTGTTTCAAACTGGCTCAATCAGGAAAGATGATTCATCAAGTAGTGTAGCTGAACTAGAAGACTTTGATTTTTCCAAGTTGCCACATAAGCCCAGAAGTTTGAACCTAGAAAGAGATAGGCAGAGATCATTGGATGAAAGGTCACTATCTGAATTGCCGGTTGGGTTATCTCCTTACCCTTCTTCCAGGGCAGATAACTTTTCCCTTCGAGGCTTAGATAATTTTGATGGAGCACTCAGGTCTGTTCTGAATTCTCCGAGGTCGGTTTATGGCCTTGAGCCACATCCCATTATTTCTGAGGCATGGGAAATGCTAAGGCGTTCATTGGTGCATTTTCGTGGCCAACCTGTTGGGACTATTGCAGCATTGGATAATTCTGACGAGAAGCTTAACTATGATCAGGTAAAGCACTTTGTTAATTGTTCAACTTGAATTGAAGACTGGTTAATTCATAGTGTGTTTACTACCTTTGTGCTTATAAGTTTAGGTTTATGTTATCGAGCAAATGATCAGATTTTGACAGTATGGGTATCAGATAATGTGTCTGGATTTCATGTGCTAAATTCTGGGTTGTTGGTGGTGTGTGTTAGATACTTTGTGCTCCAGCTGTGTTGATGAGTTATGAGTTTCAGACATATTTTTATATCAGGCAGTAGTTCCATATGATTTAGTTAGGTCAGCAGCTGGAAGGTTTGGTATAAGATGTAGAGATCTATTTACTAGTTTGCAAAATCAATGGCGGCAAATTTGTGGTTTACCTCCCTTTATTTGTCTGTAAACTCAGTGTGATGGACTTAGTGATCTATGATTTAGTGGGTAGGGAGGGCAAGGGCGCAGCAATGGTTACTGTTTCATCTGAACTTATTGTTCTTTTGTCTTTAACTTTTTGTTGCTTGGTGATTCCTGCACTCTTCCTATTTAGATTGACCTCAATGTTGGGAACATCGCAAGCCAGTGTGCGTTTTGGGCCTTTTGAGTTGGGCAGATGTGTTGAATGTAATCCTTGGCTTGTGTAGGTGTTTGTCAGAGACTTTGTTCCCAGTGCACTGGCCTTTCTAATGAATGGGGAAGCTGATATAGTGAAGAACTTTATCCTGAAGACTCTTCGGCTACAATCATGGGAGAAAAAGATTGATCGATTCCAGCTGGGGGAGGGTGTAATGCCAGCTAGCTTCAAAGTACTTCATGACCCAATTAGGAACTCAGAGACTTTAATAGCAGATTTTGGTGAGAGTGCTATAGGAAGAGTGGCTCCTGTTGACTCCGGATTCTGGTGGATCATACTGCTGCGAGCTTACACAAAGTCGACTGGAGACTCTTCTTTGGCCGAGAGGCCTGAATGTCAGAAGGGCATGCGTCTGATTCTCAGTTTATGTCTTTCAGAGGGGTTCGACACCTTCCCGACTCTTCTCTGTGCTGATGGATGTTCCATGATTGATCGCAGAATGGTGAGTCCCTTATCTGTATGGTGATTCTTTATTACTGTCTTTGTATCTTTACCGCTGTCATGTTACTTTGCCAAAAATGTTCTCCCTGAAGGATAGATAATTTCAACATAATTAATAGCTAATGGACTACGAGAGTGACTCTCGTACATGTAACTACGAGAATGACTTTATATGATTTCCTCTGCTTGTTCAGTTCTTACAGTGTGACTTTCCTTCTAGATTCTTGCTGTGAGAATACTATTTCTAAAAGCATTAGTTTCAATTCATGTAATCAGGGGTCTGCTAGATCCTGTTTGATATCAGCAAGCATGCTTACAATGTCTTTTCTAGAATTTGAAAGAAAAAGCTGATTATTTTGTAGTTTTTGTAATCATTTGAGATGAGAGCTGAATGAGGTAACACTGACATGCCATAAATAGTTGGTCTTGTGTGATCCATAAAGTGAGATAGAAAAGTTTTACAATGATAATGAACTATTGGCTTTTTATATGTACTAAATGTAGAAGATTTTTAACTTAGCCTGAGGAACAGAACCTCATGTGCACCATAGAAACCACTTACAGCTTGCTCTTGGTATAATACTTTAAGCGTGCTAATCTGAGACTGTGTACCTTTTCTAGTGTTTTCAATCATTTGAAAATTAGCCTAAAAATTGTTAACTGTACGTCTGTTACTTGTCAAGTAATGATTTCATCCTAGTTATCACCATGCTCGCTTAAAGAAATCTGTAACTTGGGACATGGATTCAGTTGACAAATCAACTGAGTGATTTTCTGAGCGGAAACGTCCAGGAAAAGGTGGACACATATTCTAGTTGGACACATTCAAGTTTATATATTAAGACTAGGAGGCCTTACAAGTCGGGGCTGGCATGATTCGCTTCTCTTCTGTTTTGTTTCTGTATATCCTAGTTAAACCACTTTATCAAACAAATTTTAGTGTTTTATGCTAATGTTGGAAGTTGGACTTAAACCATAAAATGGTATTAAAGATTTACATTCAGATCTTTATGGTATTCCAAAAAATTTCAGACTGTGGAGACACCCATGTGAATTGCTATTAAGCTTCTATTAGCTGAAGAGTTGCTGTTTAATTTTTCCAAAATTGGGTAGATACCGCAATTAGCTTCTTTTTACTTTTATTTAGTTTTCTATTAGGATGGTACTTCATGATTTATAGCCAATGTCTGCATCTCTTTTCAGGGTGTTTATGGGTATCCCATCGAAATACAAGCTCTTTTCTTCATGGCTTTAAGGTGTGCGTTGGCCTTGCTTAAGCATGACGCCGAAGGGAAGGAGTTTATAGAGCGAATAGTTAAACGTCTTCATGCTTTGAGCTATCACATGAGAAGTTACTTTTGGTTGGACATGAAGCAGCTGAATGATATTTACAGGTACAAAACCGAGGAGTACTCTCACACGGCAGTGAACAAATTTAACATCATGCCTGATTCTCTTCCAGAATGGATTTTTGATTTCATGCCAGTTCATGGTGGTTACTTTATTGGGAATGTTGGGCCTTCGAATATGGATTTTCGTTGGTTTTGCTTGGGTAATTGTATTGCTATATTGTCATCTTTAGCAACTCATGATCAGGCAACCGCTATTATGGATCTCATTGAGTCACGTTGGGAGGAATTAGTTGGAGAAATGCCTCTTAAGGTCTGTTATCCGGCTATAGAGGGCCATGAATGGCGTATCATTACTGGAAGTGATCCAAAGAATACTAGATGGAGCTATCACAATGGAGGTTCATGGCCAGGTAACCTTCCATTTCCTGTTACTTTTAACTTGAGGCTGAAATAGAAGTACATCTTCCTCTAGGGGATATTAGATATGCTGTCAAGTTTCATGTAGAATTCTTTTGCAAATGTTAAAAGGAAGTTATTTTAAGCATAGGCAATCAACTTGTGGTTGTATTCTTAAAAGTTAGAAGGGAATAGGAGTAGCCATTCCTTGAGGTGGATAGTTTTGTGAAGTTGCTAAAATGTCGTCCCTGTGCGCTTTCATGGGCAACAGATGTTTGTGATTTTGTCCTAGTCATTTGATTGTATCACCATGTCTTTCTTCTCTGTCCTTCATGTAGAAAGAATATTATATAGGTATAATGTTTTGAAGTTCAACCTCTTACAACCACTACTTGTGTAGGCTCAAGATATTGTTTATGCTGATTGTGTCTGCCAGGAAAAACTTATGACATTGTTGAAATTTGGTATGCAGTACTTCTATGGCTATTCACAGCTGCATGTGTGAAGCTAGGACGACCCCAGATGGCCAGGCGAGCGATTGAACTAGCTGAAAGCAGGCTCTCTAAGGATAGCTGGCCTGAATATTATGATGGAAAATGTGGCCGATTCATTGGAAAGCAGGCAAGGAAAAACCAAACCTGGTCTGTTGCTGGTTACTTGGTTGCCAAAATGATGCTTGAAGACCCTTCCCATCTCGGCATGATTTCACTTGAAGAAGATAAGCACCTTCTAAAACCTGTGTTGAGGAGATCATCATCTTGGACCAGCTGATGAAGTTGAAACCTTTTGTTCTGTTAAATCTAGAGATGCAGTATGAGAATGAGTTTTGATTAGGCAGATGGAAGAAGTAGAGGAAATTTTGTTGATTTTTTTTTGTAGGGAATTTTGTTTTGGGGGTATGGCACGGCTAACTATAACCACCATGGGTAGATCATTGATTCACTCTTTCTGCTAAGTGATTGCGTCGAGCTTATGGAGATGAGAAGACGCAAAAAAAAGGGGAATCTTACATTAGTACATTTTGCATCTTTCTGATTTCAACTTGCGTCTATGTCTAACACTTTACATCATTATACATCTCTTTTTTCTTCATCTTCTTCATTTTATAACACTTTACTTTTAATTCTTTAAAGTATATTCCATTTCATAAAATTCCTTTATGACGTTATAAATTTCTTTTGATTGCAATCTTTTTTTGCAGCTTATATGTCATGAAAATAAAACTGATCACTTTAATCCATGATTTGTTGCGCTCCTTGGCAGTCCCGTAACTTGTACTACCTTATTTTTAAAATAAACAAATTATTGTTTGGGTCCCCCCATAAAAATGTCATCAGGTAAATATAAAGTGATTTAATAAAAATTATTTATTAATTAAAAAATGTCATTGACGAAATAAATCCTTGCACAATCCGTATGAGATTTATTTTGAAAGTTACCCCAAAGCCGAAACGGAAAAATTGACCGATCTGTCCAAAGGTTGACATGCATTGTCAATTCTATCCTATTCTTTTTCGATTAGTCAAAATAAATAGAAAACAGAAAAAATTAAATAAAAAGTGAAAAAAGACTGTTTAGTTATTTTTACAAATTTTTAAAGTCATTTTTATAATTTTTAAAACTATTAAGGTATTTTTTATAATTAAAACTAACAGAATTCCGTTAATTTAAACGGAAATTGGTAAATTGGATAAAATCGGCTAACGGTTAGATAGTTTAGGGTAATATTGGCTAACAGAAAAAAAATAGGGTGAAATTGACAACGCACGTTAACCTTTGGGTAGATCGGCCAATTTTTCCAAGCCGAAACCAAATAAGTTGTTGAATTGGGCCTTTTTACGGTGTGCCTAATTCATTACTTTCTCCGACCCATTTTAAGGCTCGTTTATTATTCCCCACTTTCTTTTACTATTTTATTTATTTTTCCGGAGTAATAATTTTAATTCTGCTAGAACTAGAAGGGGAATCTGGAGGCCGGACAGGCAGATAAAACCACTAAAACCGCCACCGGAATCGGAATTTTCCAGAATGGCCGGACCAGTGAAAAGGCCGATCCACGCCCTCAAGTCATGGGTTCGCCGGCAACCACCGAAAGTCAAAGCCTTTCTCGCTGTCATTTCTGGCATGGCAGCTCTCGTCCTTCTCCGGGCTATTGTCCATGATCACGACAACCTCTTTGTCGCTGCCGAGGCCGTACACTCTATCGGAATCTCCGTTCTTATCTACAAGCTCATGAAGGAGAAAACTTGCGCTGGTAATGTTTTTTTTTTTAATTTTTTTTTAGAATATATATTTTATTATCTATGTTTAGGGCATCATTCTTTCAGTTTAGGTGCTAATTCGATTGGCTAGGCGGGTTGCATCGGATTAAATTTAAATTTTTGATTAATTTTGATGAAAAGATCTTAATCTTGTGGCTTGGGATTGAACCTAGAGAGGTTGAGATTTAACCATTATGCTGTTTTAATCCTCCTTTCTGTATTTACGATTTGGGGTTTGTTTGTTGGTCGTTTCTAGAAGGAAAAAGATGAGTTTTTTTGTGGGTGGGGGGTTGTTAGTTTGCTTAATTGGTGTGGAATTAAGGTGAATTGGGTAAAAGGTTGCTACTTTAGGGTTCTTTTGTTGCTTACGGATAGAAACTAATTAGGAATTTCGTTTTCTGATTTCACAAAGGTTGTTAGAAAGAACATTTGAATGTTGTGAACCTCTTTGCATCTTCTGCTGGCAATTTTGCACTTACGTTCACATTTTTATGTTTGGCCTTATTGGTGAAACAACAGATCAATTCAATATGTAATATCTGCTAAAATAGGCATTTTTGCTTAGTTACATAGCATTTACCTGTTTATGTTTCTATAATGTTAATATTAACTGTTATATTCATGAGTTGCCAAAGATCTTGAGGAACTTTTAATGTGATACAGATGGTTTATTTTTTGATCTCTTAGTCCTTAGCAGTTGAAATCAGATTATAGAACTAAATTTTGGTCACAAATTTTGTTTCAGTTGGAAGAATTCCAATTATTTTACTGTTCTTCAGGCTAATGGGTTCAGGATCTTGCTATTAGTGTATTTTAGTGTGATATGTTGGTAAGCTATTTGCATTTGAGCATGTCTCTTTAGCTCCTCGTAAGTTGATTATGTATAGAAATGAATTGAGAGGTAAGAAACTTTCTGTTTGCATGTTGGTAGCTGAATGTGATTAATGCATGATTGTTACCAACTAGGTTCTAAGATGGATATTAGGAGGCTGTAGTTTCTGATGTTTAATTATATCTGATAAAAATTATTGAAAAGGGAATCAAATGGAAGCGTTTGATAGTTATAACAACCAAGTCTTAGACAAGCCAGGAGGATTTAGATTGCCAACTTTCTTGGAGGATTCTTATTGGTTTATGGAACATTTATTCCCTCTTTCTATAAAAAGGGGCATCTTTTATGTATTTTCTTTTTCTTGTCGGTATATACGCATTTTGATGGTTATTTGCAATGATGTATGTGGTTTGAAATTGGAAGCATGATGTCTTCTTTCATTTTTTCATGATGTCCATCCTCTTTTTCTTGTCAGTATATATGCATTTCGATGGTTATTTGCAATGATGTCTGTGGTGTGAAATTGGAACTTCTTTCATTTTTTCATTGTGTCCATCCATTTCAATCTGTTATCTGTATTCGACTGGTTTAATTGTTCCCTTTTATGAATTTGCTAATTGATCTGGCTCTCCCGTTGGATTCATTGCAGGTCTTTCACTCAAGTCCCAGGAACTGACGGCTATGTTTCTGGCTGTGAGACTGTATTGTAGTTTTGTCATGGAATATGATATACACACTCTGCTCGATTTAGCGACTTTGGCCACAACCCTGTGGGTTATCTATATGATTCGATTTAAGCTGAGGTCAAGTTACATGGAAGACAAAGACAACTTTGCCTTGTATTATGTGGTGAGTCTATTTAGGTTATTGCACAACTATCATTTGCTCTTTGTGTATTTCTTCTGCGTGACTTAGCATTGGCATTTGGGGATTTAGTGGCTTCAGTTAGGAAATTTGACTGAAAACTGAGGAGCTTGTACATGGAGCTCCTGATTTCTATTTTATCTAGTTTGTGTAAAAGCATTGGAAACTTAAGATAATAGGGATGTCTCGGCCATAGAGAACATGGCATTTGACATCTGGTTGATGCTAATTTTAATCATTTGTTCTGGTTATTTTTGTGTTAGATTTCCAGCATGTGATTTTTTTTTTTTTTTTTTTTTCTTTCTGTTTAAAATCCAATGTTTGACTATATTAGGTTTTATTTTCTGCAGGTAATTCCTTGTGCTGTTTTAGCTTTTCTGATTCACCCATCTACATCGCATAACATCATCAACAGAATTGCCTGGGCCTTCTGTGTGTATTTGGAAGCTGTGTCTGTTCTGCCTCAGCTGCGAGTTATGCAAAATACTAAGGTAGAATGGCAACCCTTATAGAAAAAAGGGCAGCTGTCAGAATTTGTTTACACACTGGTGTATTTGGTGAATTAATGCTGATTTTTTTTTTTTAATTTTAAATAATGTTTGTCACAGATTGTTGAGCCATTCACCGCTCATTATGTATTTGCATTGGGTATCGCAAGGTTTTTAAGCTGCGCTCATTGGGTCCTCCAGGTTAGAATACTAGTAACTTGGTTATCTACTCTTGTAATGTGGTCAGCTATCTGTGTTTTCTGTGAATTATTAATGTGCCACGGAAATTATGTTTGTTTTGCAAAATTCCATCTCATTCACCAAAATGGTTATTTCCTCTTTGAAATGATTCCTGTCGTGTTCTCTAGTGCCTGATGATGAACTGTTTTTTAATATAGTGTAAATTTTAAAGCTCTTTAAAACTTTATTAGACCGGCAGAACAATATTTGATGACAAATTAGTTTAGGTCTGCACGTCTTATCACTAACTAGGGCTTGAAATGATTGACATCTTGTGTGTTTTATTGTCCACTGACCTACCAGTCTTTTGGTCTACTTCTTATTACCACTTAGGCATCGAAATGTTTGATTTACACACGCATTCACTTTTGACAGGTTCTGGATAGCCGTGGCCATCTGCTGACTGCTTTGGGTTATGGGCTTTGGCCTTCAATGGTGCTTATATCCGAGATTGTTCAGACCTTCATCTTAGCTGACTTCTGTTACTATTATGTGAAAAGGTGAATTCATTTGTTTGACCAAAACTTTATACCCATTTGTTCGATTGCAAAGCTTCTTCTTTTACGGCATTTAGCTGACCATCTCGATGATATTGTTGCTGCAGTGTATTTGGAGGGCAGCTAGTGTTGCGCCTACCTTCTGGAGTAGTATAAACCTGGTAATAAAGCAGGCTATCATTATAGGAGAAGCTGAAAACTAGTGTTGGTTCCTTTTTCCATTTGAGGTCTCATCTTAGGGGCACGCTTTTATTTTGGTCAATGGTGGTACTTCAGTGTCAAGTTTAACGAGAGATGTCTGTAAAGTTGGCCATTGGAGCAAAGTTGGATAATTTATGATCAATCTATATTGGGAATTTGGGAACAGATTTTGTGTTATTGCCTCAATAGTCAACTCTGATGTCGTTTCATCTCCCCTCTCCCTCTTGACTAAAAATGATCCATAGAAAAGGGCCAATCATTTTTATTCTTTTTTTTTTTTTGGTTGGTTTATTTTTAGTTATAAGTCGTCGATACTCGTTGCACTGCATATTAAAAAACAGATGGATCAAGATTTTTCCTAGTCTAAATAATTGAGGCTCCTAATAACTTTCGAAAGGATCGTCTTACGAAGGGGTAAACTACAAACTAATGAATAGGCAGACAAAAGGTACACTCCGAGTGGCTCAGAAGACACATTATCTAGGTTCATCTTTCTTTGTTCATCCCAGGTTGAAACTTTCCCCGAATGAGATAAGAAAGCACCATGTTTATCAAATCCAGAAGCTTCTAAAACCTGAATCTACACAAATTACAAGAATTAATAAAAAACTTTAAAAAGGATCATCATTACATACAGATGCATAGTGGGTTGGTTTAGTACTTTAGTGGTGGTTCCTTTTGAGTTCCTTGTTCCTTCCTAGTTCCTACCACCTCTCAAGAAACCATGTAAACTCTACAGCTGTGAAGCACAAAGTTTCATGGACTCCTGCTGGTGGTGGTGGGGGGACCTTATCAATTTACGAGCATTTTTTTTAAAAATGTGAATTAGGTTTAAACAATTATTAGAAATGAATAATTGTCCAAACGATTAATGATAGTTGTATGTGCCATTGTAGATAAAATTTGAGTGTTTTTTTACAAAAAAAAAAAAAAAAAAAAAACACAGCCAGCACAGGATAATAACACTCAGAAGGCACGAGATTATTATAACAAATATGGCCAAAGAAAAGGTGTGGACAGTTTGATGTATCATCATTTCAGCACAGATAGATAGAATAGAATAGAACCCTTAAAAAGAAGGGATACAAATTCTTTTCTTGTGGACTCTCGACACCTAACAAAGCACTCGATTAAGCATTCCCCTTCCCCAACCACCCCCCCACCCCTCCCCCCACCCCCCCAATATTTTTCTCTTTTCATTTTTTTGAGGAAATGCAAAATCCTCAATTTTGAGTGTCAAATCAATGCGCACGGATGGAGCTAGCTGTCTTAACACTCTTATCAGTTATCACCAACGCCTTCTGGCTCTAAATTGTTACGTAAAATAGACATATGTTTAGGTTGGCCAAATTTCCAAAAGAAGTATTTCTTCTCCGTCTCAAAGAAATTTTTTTTAAAACAATCATATTTATTATATTTAATTCAATAAATAAAATTAAAATTTTGCATCAAAAGAAATTTTACAAACGTTAACTGCCAAACAAATTGATTGTGTGCGGGCCTTTTTCTGTGGACAAACTCAAAAAACTGGCATTTTCGCACTGATTTTTCCCTTTTAAAAAATATAAAACTCCCCCACTGATTTCAAGCGTCACAAAATCACAATATATCGCTTTTATTTGCAAGCTGTGTCCAGTTCGAAGAAGTAAGTAGAAGAAACTGAGAGGATGGATATCCAAAATAGTACTACTAATTCACATTATTGGGTGCACATTAAAAGTATTTTTAGCCTTATCTGGAAGGAGTAGGTCACAAGCTGATTTTGATATGCTGACTCCCGAAGTCCTATGAATAGGGATCATGCAACTTTGAGCTTTACCACTTTGGTATTTCAAGTTTCTTGTTGGTGGCTCAGAAATTTTAATTATATTATCCTCAAAGGAACACAAAATGTGAATTTTTCTCCCTTCTTAATTGTCATTTTATCGGATAATATATACCCTTTTCTTCCCATTGTGAAAATGGCTAAATAGAGTTCATGATACTATTTGCACCATTCTAGTTACATATAGCATATCAACAAATGAAACTAAATTTTATTCAAATTGGTGATTCTCAAGAGGCATCCAGTTTCTTCCCCCCAAAAAAAAAAAAAAGAGAAGGTATATAGTTTGTAATTCTTGACTCAAAAAGGAAAAACTTTGGGACTTCATCATTGAAATGAAGTGTTTGAGTTCAAATTGCTTTATTCTTCATTTTTGTTTTTATATAATAAAATAATCTGGAATGATGGGGTGCAAGCGCCAATTTTGACCACCTCAATTATCATAAAATACCAACCAATTGTACTTAAAAATGTCCCTCTGAGTTAAGACCTACCCTATTCACGGACATTGCACAACTTCAAATTAGATTACCTCAAAACTAAGTTATAGGTTTGGTCGATAATTATTTTAGGCCTTTGCATGCATATCCACATAACCCAACATTCTCCGCGTATTGGTCACCTTCACCCCTAGTCCCACCAACCCTCCCTTCCTGACTCTATATAAATTGAACCATTTGCCTCTTTTGCTTCACTCAAAACTCTTCCTTCACTTAATAGTCACTGTAGCGTACAACTATACAAGCAGTCAACATCTTCAAGTGCAAAATAATCAGCATGGGTTTTACGAGATTGGTTCTTTGTTCATTGCTCGTTTGTTTGGTTCTTCTTCAGAGCCACGGACGTGAAGCTCAAGCTAATCAAATGGTATATAGCCCTTTCCTTTTACTTTCTCTCTCTTTTTTCTTTTCCTTTGGGTAGAGGAATCAAGTAATTCTTGAGGACTTGTTGCTCATTCATCCTAGCATTAACTTTGGGTGATTCTGCTGGTATGATCAGACTTAACGTACTCACGATCTTCATTTGTGTGGTGCAGGAGGGAAACGCTGTTTCCGTGAATGGTTACACCGATAAAAAATTGGGTAATATACTAATCCATTTCCATCTGCTGCATGCTGGATATTCCCCATACATTTTTGTACAAATATTACAATCTTTATTATGTATCTCGATCATGGATTGTTGATTTGAAAATTGAATGCGGTAACATAGTTGTTTTGATTTCCGTATTTCTTAGGTGTGAAAAATATTGTCCATTATATGCTGACCACTACATATTTTGCTTCTGATTATTGGAAAAAGAGAAGTGTAGTAAAAAAAATTTTTGGTGGACTATATTTTGGCAGATTGTGGAGTGGCTTGTGCAGCGAGGTGCCAATTATCATCACGACCAAGGCTGTGCAAAAGGGCATGTGGAACTTGTTGTGCAAGGTGCAAATGTGTTCCACCTGGTACTTCCGGCAACTACGATGTTTGTCCTTGTTACGCCAGTCTCACCACTCATCGCAACCGTCGCAAATGCCCTTGAGAAACTGAATAATCATACCTCTTTATTATTCATACCTTCGCTACTTTTTTTTTTTTTTTCCCTTTATAATGATATTTCGGATTTTGGTGTGCATATGAATCAGCTTTAATGCAAATAAGGCGGGACACTAGCGGCCCCACTCGGAATCACTTTGTAATTATTATTGTATTTGCTGTAATTTTTACTTTCAAATAAGCAACTTTTGGGGGCTCTCCTCATGAAAGCAATGTAATTTTTATTCATTATTAATGAATAATGATGTTGTTTGTACATTGCACATCGTTGATGTACGTTTCCTACTTTGTTAGGATTTGCAATATATCTTTTGATATAGTAAAATGTTGGATTCCATTTGAGCTCATAAATTCGTTATTATATGCTACTTTATTCATACTTGCATTACATATCTTATATGAAAAATTAGTGAATCTTCTAGAAGTCCGGTCTATCCCGGATATGCTGAACTTATGCAAAATTTTATTGTACACGGGTGGATATGCACGTTTCCACTTTTTTGCATGTTTCCATATATGCACGAAGCCCATCCCTGTGGTTTCCATATATTACTAGTGATGTCTGGTCGCGCAATGCGCGATCATGGTCCAGTCTATATTTAATTTTGGAGATTTTTAATAGTTTTGTAATAAGTTTCATCTGAAAGGTATACGCTTAAAACAAAATTGACACTTTGTAACAAAAACCTAATTGATCAATTCAATTTAGACTCCATAATCAAAAAAAGAAAATCACTCTAATTGAATGAAACATAAAGAAAAAATTAAAAAAAACGTGCCACGTAAAGTGCAAAGGGGGATTTAGTAATTTAGTTATGGTTATACAAAAGAGTAATTTAGTACTTTCCTCATGCCACGTGGCAATCATAGGAGGTATTTGAAAGAGGATTTTTATTTCTAATATAGTAAGATATAGATATCTTACAATATTAGAAACAAAAACCACATTTAAGAGAAAGCATCATCATTTGCCATGTGGCATTTCCACATCGTATTTATAAAATAAATTTTTATTTACACATCTCCTAAACTTAAAAGGCAAATGCAGTCCAAATTCACCTTCACCTCTTATTTTCGCCAAAAAAAAAAAAAACTACGGGTTCATAAAAAACCCAAATCCTAATCCCCATCTCCATGACAATCAACTCCCTAATCAATCGCTTCTCCTCAATAAAAAAAAAAATTCCTCATCAATCATCAATTGAGAATATGTGGTGAAATATACTCCTTTCCTATTAGCATGTTCAATCTTTTCATTAGTAATGATCAACTACATCCTAATTGGATAAAATTTCGATCTCAAAAAATATTCTCTTTACCTCTCTATATAAACACAAAGGAAAAAAAAAATTCTCATTGATCTTGCTTCGGCCATTGTGGTGATGCCATTACAGGTATTAAAATTTAAATGATTTAATTTTCATAGACCATTTGTTTGGCTTTTATTATTTTTTGTTTTTCCCCTTCAAGAATAGTGTTATTACTATTATTTTCATCCGTCCATCCGTTACAGCTACCGTAGCCATTGTCAGGTAATATAATGTGATTTCTTATACGGTTAGTTAGCCTAGAATTTTTGTATGAATTTAGTTCTGTTTGGACTGAATTGATTAATTGAGTTTTTGTTACAAAGTGTTGTTTTTTAAATTTCTTTTTTATGTTTCATTCAATTAGAGTGGTTTTCTTTTTTTAATTATGGAGTCTAAGTTTTTTCTTACATGGTCAGTTATAAAGTGTGTTTTTTCTTTGTCTAATTGCTTTTGATTTTGTTTCATACTCCCAGTTGACTTATTATTATTATTATTATTTTATTTTATTTACAAATGAAGCGCGTTTTTTTTTCTGTGTTCGGACTTTCAATAATATACTTTTTCGGATTTGGTTTTTGGACTTTTTTTAGTTCCTCATCATATAAATAGTTAAGGTCACTTCTTCTAACTGATTTATGGGGAAATCTTTTACCAATTTGAGGTGGAGAGGAAAGGAATGATGTTTCTATGTTTATTTGTGTTTTTATACATCATTTTTACGTACAGAAAAAAATAAATTTCTCAATTTTTAATGGGCTATCTTTTACTTTCTTTTTTTTTGTTTATTTGCCATGGTGAGGTGAGTTCTTTTTTGCTATAACTTGAAACCTATGCAAATTTACATTATTTTCATTCTCATACTTATGATCAACCAGTTTCAACAATTAACTAGTTCCAAAATCATATTTTTGATATTTTACAACCAATAAAGTTTTGGAAGAAATAGTTCCAACAATTAAGCGTATACTCTTTGGAGGAATCTTACTACAAAGCTATTATAAATCTCCAAAACTAAGTATTGATTTGGCACAATCAATGGAGAACATCAATAAATCATCTTACTAATATTTAAACTTATTAGGATACTTTTATATTTTGTCTAACATTTACTTCAAGACATATTTTGATCAAATTTATTTATATTTAAGAAGTAACACTTATAAAATATTTTTAAAATCTTGAAACATTTCTGAAATGTTCCTGGCCAAATATAATTTCTTTTTATGCCAAATACGAACATTTCTGTGATCACACTTATAAAACATTTCTAAATTCTTCAAACATTTCTAAAATATATCGGGCTAAATACAAAATATTTTTTTTTTCAAATATAAACATTTCTAAAATCTACATATATATTAGGCTGCGGGACCAGACATCACCAGACATCACTAGTATATATATATATATATATATATATATATATATATATATATATTGTACACGGGTGGATATGCACGTTTCCACTTTTTTGCATGTTTCCATATATGCACGAAGCCCATCCCTGTGGTTTCCATATATATATATATATATATATATATATATATATATATATATATATATAGAGAGAGAGAGAGAGAGAGAGAGAGAGAGAGAGACACACACGAAGGATGCACGAGATTTTGGATATTATCAGCCGATCGATCAAGTAAAAGGTACAAGCTGACTTGGTGCAGCGGGTGTACTACTGAAGATTTACTCGTTTAATTGGGGGTTTTGGCCGGGAATGAATGAATTAATTCGGTATTCTGATCATCATCCAATTAATTTCGCCTCACACCATGGCACCACGATATCACCTACAAGGAAGAAGATTGGGCTTTGGTTGGGCTCAGGTGGGATACCCCTTTCTTTATGTTTTATGGTTGGGCTCGACCGTTCTTTTAATTGACAAAAAAATCTTTAAAATATATTTTTAAAGTCGTTGATTGTTATAAAATATTTTTAAGAATTTTTCATCAATTAAAAATACGTACTAGGTGAACAAATCAAAATGTCTTATATTAAGTATCGGAGGGAATACAAAATTCATGGATAGGTCGGCAAATCCATCGCGCATTAAGTAGTACTCCCTACGTCCTTAATATAAGACATTTAATTTATTTTAAGTTTCACCTATAACATACTTTTAATGGTAAAAAAAGCCTTAAAAATATATTTCACATTCGTTGTGTTCTCTTGATTGTTCTGAAGTAATTTCAAGATTTTATTTGTCAATTAAAATAAAATTTAGGACAAATCAAAATACCTATTAAGAACTAGAGGGAGTATTATCATAGTGTTTGCCGAACCTCATACGTGATACTACACTACATCACCATCCTCGGAATTGAGGGGCAGATTCATCTTTACAATAGCTAGGATGGATTGTTACAAAAGTCAGATTGATTCTGATACTTGACAAAATTCGCGATGCCACGGTAAATTGAAAATGATAGTGTTTGAAAGCACTACTTCTCCTAAAACTTATTTTCTTCGTCCATTAAAAAAAAATCGAATTTATTAAATGAAAACAATACAACAAAACAGATTATTTTTATGAAACAAAAGGAAAATTAAAAAACTTTAAAACTCAAAGTGGTCCTTAAAATTTATGAACACAGCAAAAAAGCTCAGTCAACATATACATATCACTATCAGGGAAAACAACTGAAGAAGTTGCAACATGTACTACTTTGTTTAAAATATAATTCATATCAAATTTTGATATTTTTACTAATAATAACACAAATCTCAGCTAATTATTTAGAATAGACGGAGGTATGATGTAGCATATGGCTTGAGAAGACGCAAAAGGGAATGAAATCGGGGAACTGTCGAATGGGAGATTCTGGCATATATAGTACAAAGAAGTGTATATTGATTTGATTAGATCATTTCTTTTTTATGTTATTCTCTCTGTCACAACTTGATAATACGTATATATACTGGACTTGATTTTAATTCAATAAAAATAAATACTAACAAATTATATATATATAAAAGAAATTAGCCATATTGAAATGGAGGGAGTAATATATTTTTTAATAGAATAAGAAATGGATTTCGCATTACGTATGGTTCTTGGAATTTATATAACGAATTTGGTACAAAAGTGTAGAGGTACCGTATGGTTTAAGGGGTAGACCAGAAATATTTTGCATTTACGGTTTAATCAATTTGGAATTTGATATATTTTGTTTACTTGTTAGCGAAAGTTATCATATCGTTTACCAAAAATGGTTATTTTTTGTTCTGGCATGATTTCTTAATTATTTGTTCGCTAGCGCCTGATTTAGTCTGTATATCGTTCAGCAAAGCTTGAATCATTTGATTAATACCTCAGGCGTTTGTTAGTGGCGGCCGATGAATTACGGTTTTTAAGGTCTGCACGTACCTTGAATTAAAGTTTCGGATTTCTTATATCTGTGCATTCTGACGTTTGATGACGATCTTTTATCTTAAGAACATATACATACACGACTTCTAGCTAATTAGAGTTTGAAATTATAATGTTTGATGTCTCGTGTGCTCCAATTAATCTCTTTTCTAAATCACCAGTCTTAATTAGGTCAGCATTTTATCAATTATAAATCTCGAAATGTTTGAATATTTACATGTGCGTAAATGCCTTTTGACACTAGGTTCTGGATGTTAACAATCTATGGATCATGAATTCATGATCCCTAGTTTTTGTTGGGGATTTATCTAGAGGAAAAAATCCGACATGGAGCCCAATAAGTAAGATAAGACCTATCTGAACTTAAAAGCTCAAACTAATGGGTTCTGAGTCCACCTTAGTTATTAACTGGTTCACATGTCATCATGCCTCCAATGTGGAATTCACAATTCTTGCCACATGACCCTCAACAGTTTTTTGAATATTCATGATGAATTCATGAATTCATGATGCCTTTTGCTTCGGGTTTGAAGTTTCTTGTTGGCGGCAAAGAATAACTAATTAAATTATACCCCAAGGTGCAGGTAATTTGAATTTTTTTTTTCTCTTTTTGTGCTTAATTAAACATATCTTGTCAATATATATAATTTGATCTCGTTAGTATAGACATTGAGTAGTTTGAGATCATTGTTCAAATCTTAATTAGTATGGGCATGATAAACTATGCTTCTCTAGAAAAATTTTGCTCTGTGAGAGAAATTTATTCAAATAGATAGTGAATTCTGATACTAAATTTATATAATATCAAAAAGTTTACATATGTTAATATGATAAATGGAAACCTTCATAAAATAGGCAAGACGTCGTAGTTGGAAGCCATGCATACCATTTTCTTCTGTCTTTGGTTCTACACATCAGCCTCTAATCATTCTCTGCTAACCATTTTCTTTTGTACTCCTTCCGTCGTCCAGAAAAATAATTCCACTTACACTGAATTTCAAAATTTGTTTAAAAAACACTACAAATCTAAAAAATCAACGTGCACGAATTATTTCTGTGGGGAAAGAAAGGAGTGGAGTTGTGATTTCTTCATCACTTATTAATGCTTTTTTCCCTCTTAATTTTCCAATTTTGGTTTCAGTGTTAGGGAGATGAATGAGAAAAGGACGACAATGGCTTTTTTCGACGACATATGGAAGAGATGGAAGGACGACGATCGTGGTTTTCAGTTTCTTCACGGAGTTTAATAATAATATTATTATTATCTAGGATTTTTGTCCCCTTTTTTTTGAGTTTTCGAACTCGTTCTATATATAGGCTCGTTCTTGGTTCTATTAAATTACTCACTAGTTTCTCTTGTTGTTTATCCATTCCATTGATATACTTGATCAACTATTCAAGTTATGTTGGTAAATAGAATAAGAGTTTATCGTTGTGCCAAGCTATGCTTTTTTTCCCCCTATTTTCTTTTCTTTCTATGGGCTAATTAAACCGCACATAAACTAGGGTACTAAAAAGATGCGAGTAAAATGATCAAGCCTTTACTTGTATACGTAGCAGGGCTGTTTCAGACTTTCAGTATATATAGAGGGATTGACTTGAGGATCAAGGGCCAGGAGTGGCTTCGTGCCAAAGCTGGCGCGTTACCGGGAAAATTGACAGAAGATCTTGTAAGGAAGCCGTGGATGAGCTTTTAGGAGGAACCTATAGCTTTTCTATCCGTGAATGCATAATTTGGAAATTAATTATGCCACCTCCATTCATAGTGAAAAAAAAAGAGCCAGCTGATGTTTGGATCCAAATGATTGACACTGGGGTTGGGGACTTGGGAGATACTCCATCGAGTCCTTAATATAAAGTATTTTGATTTGTTCTAGGTTTCACTTAGTACGTATTTTTAATTAACAAAAAAATCTTAAAAATATTTCATAACAATCAATAGAACATAACGAATGTGAAAATATATTTTTCAGATTTTTTTATTAATTAAAAATGCATAATAAGTGAAACCTAGAACAAATCAAAATACTTTATATTAAGGACATGAGGGAGTATATATGGACCGGTTAGATATCATGATCTCGAGGACTACTTCTTAATTTTCACTAGTTGGCTGCTAATATTGTGTGATTATCGTTTTTAGATACACAAAAACGTGGAGGCTGTATTAATTAATGTTAGGCTGTCTTTATTTTATTTTATTTTTGTTGAAGTAATTAATAGTAGGTTGTTAATATTGCAGCTGTAAAGGGCAGCAGGCAATCAATGAATGAAACTTTGAATTTCTCTCCCCAGCCAAGCGATGAAGCAATATATTCATGTGAACTCCAATTTTTTTATTTCCAAGTTTTGCAAAATCCTCAATTTTGAGTGTAAAATCAATGTCACTAATGTGCATGGATGGAGCTAGCTGTCTAATACCACTCTTCATGAAGTATTATCTCAATACTTTATGGCTCGGAGTTGTTACGCAAAATACAAATATTTAGCTTAAAAAAATTAGTACAATAAAGTGGATGTTAATTATTAAAATGTGACGAAGAAAGTATTGAAATTGATTGTACTCCAAAATTTTTTTTCCCCCCTATGAGCACAAGCTGACCGGTTTTAAGGCTCACAAATCACAATAAATCAATCGCTTTTGTTGCAAGCTGTGTCCATTTTAACATGTTATAGTCTTATCCGGAGTAGTATATTTACAGGTCACAGGTTGATTTTGATTGTTGAGCTCTATGTACTTTTGACTCCTACTCCTATTATCCTCCAATGCAAGTTGCTCACGTTACTACGTAGTTTGGCTTTGGAGTTTCGGGTTTGTGGCTAGGGGCGCAGGGAATGTGATTTTCCCTCTTCTACATTATCTTTCCAGTTTTCCGCAATATTATCTGGATTTAATATAGGTAAACAAATAGAAACGATGGGACGGAGCATCATTTCCGACAATGTAAATAAGCGAATACAACACCACGTACCAGTGATTAAAGACATTTGTTAATATGAGTCTTTCCATCGACTAATACCTAATTGTCTAATTTTCCCAATTAAATTTTGAAAAGTTGAACCATGTGATCAGATTTGTACCAACTAAACTTAATTGCTTGTTTTCTCCACCCCCAAGTACGCAAATCCCATTATAAATCCGACCCTTTTGCTCCCTTTGTATTCACATCATTCAAAGCTCTAAATTTTCGTCACCTACTACAACTTTTCTTATTACGAGGTACGTAGTAGGAGCAATAGTTCCAAGCATCAAGTAATGATGAACATGGCTTTTACGAGATGGATGGTTGTTTGGTTACTATTTTCTTTGATGCTTCTCCAAAACCATGGATATGGCCAAGCTCCAGCATCTGAAACTGATCAAATGGAGGTATTCCACACCCCCAAAATAATTTATCATAATCGTAGCTCATAGTCTATGATTAATCTATACCCTAATGAATGGATAACGCAATTTGTTAACTATGCATAAGACAAGATTACTGATCATGATGTTGCATTTTCGGCTCAGGTTGCTGGCGGCGCGGTTTCTGAAAACGGCTATGGCCACCGAAGATTGAGTAAATGTCCATCTCCTTCTAATACTTTTTAAGCTTATATAGTATATATACTCGCTTTTTTTCACCGGTTTCTCCCTTCTACAATACCCGAATATATACTAAAATAAAGTAAACTTCGTACGTATATTAAAATATAGTTGTTGATTTAGATAGAATTGAGAGTTTGTGGAATGATTAGCACAAATAATACATTGAGTTCTTACGAACCCACCCTGTATACATGCATGAGTTCGAGCCCAACAATAAGGAGACATTGGGAATCATTAGTCGGTCTATCATGTCTTTTAACAATCTTTTGTTTCAATTAAGGCTTTTTTTTCCCCTTTCTCTCTCTCTCTCTCTATATATATATATATACACACACACATATACATTATATGTGTGTATAAGTTTTCTTCATCTTTTTCCCATTTCAAGAAATAATTTAAAACTCTCCATCTGTTTTCTCTTTTTTTGAAGCCTTTTTCTCAACCCCCCTCCTTATTTTTCCCCTTTTCATGTTAAATATTGTTACCTTCTAATCTCTCTTTCGGATTCAGTCTTTGTATGTGCTCGTTAAAGTGTCTTTTGCCGTGCTCAAATGTTACCATATATAGTAGAAGATTTTCAGCGTCAAATCTCAAACAATCAACTGATAGAGCTACTTTGGACATCTAACAAAATTTAAATATTGGTAGAGATAGAAATTTAAATAAATGTTTGACTTTCAAAAAAAAAAAAAATCATGAAAGGACCCAAAAACTCAAAACACACCACATATATTAATGTTTGCATTTGGTTTGGCGAACTTCCAACTAGTAGAAGTTGTCGAAATTGAACTATATATCTATATATACTTGGTCTCATTTTCTCATGTGATTCTTGAACGTTAAGACAGAAATTGGTGGTGGGTAATACATATTCCGTTATTTGTTTGTACGTAGATTGTGGAGCGGCTTGTGCAAGGAGATGCAAATTATCATCACGACCAAGGCTGTGCAAAAGGGCATGCGGAACTTGTTGTGCAAGGTGTCACTGCGTTCCTCCTGGTACTTCCGGCAACTACAATGTTTGTTCCTGTTACGCAAGGCTCACCACTCATGGCAACCGCCGCAAATGCCCTTGAATAATCATATTTCTACATCTATTTGTGTTATCCACAATGTGTTTGTATTTTTATTTGGAACTTATCAATCTGGTGGTAGTATATATTCTTTTGATGCAAATAAGGCTTGTGATTAGCTAGCCATATTCAAAACTCTTGTATACGTAGTAGCTGTTTGCTGTAATTCCCTTGTGAAATAAACAACTGTGGACGTGCTTCCGAACGGTTGTGTATGATGTATACAAGTTTTAATGATATGAGTATGTTTCTAAAAATTTGTCTCAATATCTATTTTCCAATACTAATTTGGTAATACATGTAACCGACATCATTTAATTTGAGATTCGATAAGTTCCAAAATAAAAAACCCAGAAAACATTACTATTATTATTATTGTTGTTGTTGTTGTTGTTGTTATTGTTGTTACTATTATTTTAACTTTTTTGCTTATTGTGAAGTGTCCACGTCCTTGCTCTGCAAACAGATCAATGGGTGAGAAAGCGTTATGTGGATATGCAATTATCCAATTTTACTGTTAATGATTTTCGTAATGTTTGGAAATAGGAGTAACTTTATTTTGTGCCCCTCCAATTTGGAAATAGGAGTAATTAATACGGTTCTGTACAAACACAACATTGTGAAGTCGGTGCACCGCAGACCTAATTAGTTAAGGAACTTAACCCTTACAATAATAAAAAAGTAGGAAGTTTCTAAAATTAATTTGTATATTGCCTGTTGCCGTTAAAAACAAAGGAAAAAATAAAACCGAAAAAAAAAGAACCGGAGATAATACTGTTCTCGTATGGGAAGTAATAAAATTTTTGGATACAAGTAATAGTCTGTGGTAATTTCTTTTCTTTTTTTTTTTCCTTTAAGGAATTCAGTTTGTAAGAAGTTTACGCAAACGTAGTTTTACATGCATAATTAATTGGGAAATTTCAAAATTAGTGGATCGATGTATTTTCAGCCGTTTATATTTATATAATATATGCGTCTCAAGTTAAGAAGCACGCTAAATATTTTAGAGAGTCTTTTGTAGCAATCTAATTAATTGGAATTGATTAAGTAGTAAATATAGTAATTATTATAATAATCACTACAAGTTACAACAACAACAACGACGAGGACACTGAAGAAGACGGAAGAAGGAACCATGTCATCCAAAGTGGGAGATACCGATTGGAGATCCGAATTTTTCCTTATTCTATTCTCTACAGGGATGTTTTCGTTTGTTGCCATACTATACGGGCTTGTTGTTTACTCTATACCGGAGGAGATATTGCGCAACTTAATTTTGTTGGCACTCTACATCCCCTTGGTGGGATTTATGGGGATTTTTATTTTATTTACCTTGCCGACATGTTTCACGTCGAGCCGCCATGATGTCGATCCTCTTCTTCAACAAAAGTTGGTTCCCAAAAAGACCAAAAATAAGTCGTCTTCTGCTGGTCAACTCCTTGTACTTTTGTGGATTTTACTCATTGGTTGCCTGGATTTAGTCTTGGTTTACTATGAACCCCTCCAAGATTTCATGCAGTTGTTAGTGGCCATCCAATGTGGTCTCCTTGCCTTATTGTCATTCTTCAAGTTGGTTGCTCCCTACAAAGATTCAGCATGTGTTGCAATTGTCCTCCTTTTTCACTCGTTTGTGATTGGAATTTTATGCAACACCCTGAGGAACTCTTCTACTGTGCTGCGTTTCCTGCCGCTGCGGCTTTGTATGCTATGGTAAGGATGAATTCCCTTCCCTATAACAGTCCGTCCCATAAAAAAAATAAATAAATAAAAAAATCGTCCATATTACAACTTGTTATTTGCACAAACCACAATGTAGACGATTATTTCTTTTCTTAATTTTTATTTTCCGTTTGGTACAACTAGGCACATTGAAATATTTGATCGATGTTGCATATATATATATATACTAGTGATGTCTGGTCGCGCATTCCAATATATCTGTAGATCTTAGAAATATTTGTATTTGGAAAAAAAAATATTTTGTATTTGGCCCGATATATTTTAGAAATTTTTGAAGAATTTAGAAATGTTTTATAAGTGTGATCATAGAAATATTTGTATTTGGCATAAAAAGAAATTGTATTTGGTCCGGTACATTTTAGAAATGTTTGAAGATTTTAGAAATGTTTTATAAGTGTTACTTCTTAAATATAAATAAAATTGATCAAATATATCTCTTGAAGTAAATGCTAGACAAAATATGAAAACATGCCAATAAGTTTAAATATTAGTAAGATAATTTATTGATGTTCTCCATTGGTTGTGCCAAATTAATACTTAGTTTTGGAGATTTATAATAACTTTGTAGTAAGCTTCCTCCCAAGGGTATACGCTTAATTGTTAGAACTATTTCTTCCAAAAGTTTATAGGTAATAAAATATCAAAAATATGATTTTGAAACTGGTTAATCACAAATATGAGAATGAAAATAATATAAATTTGCATATGTTTCAAGTTATAGCAAAAAAGAACTCACATCACCATTACAAATAAAGAAAAAAAAAGAAATTAAAAGATAGCCCATTAAAAATTGAGAAATTTATTTGTATAAAAACACAAATAAACGTAGAAACATCATTCCTTCCTTCTCCGCCTCAAATTCATAAAAGGTTTCCCCATAAATTAATTAGAAAAAGCAACCTGAACTATTTATATGATGAGGAACTCAAAAAAGTCCAAAAATCAAATCCAAAAAAGTATATTCTTGAAAGTCCGAACACAAAAAAAAAACACGCTTCATTTGCAAATAAAATAATAATAATAATAATAATAATAATAATAATAATAATAATAATAATAATAATAATAATTGGTCAACTGGGAGTATGAAACAAAATCAAAAGCAATTAAACAAAGAAAAAACACACTTCATAACTGACCATATACGAAAAAAAAAATCGAGACTCCATAATTAAAAAAAGAAAACCACTCTAATTGAATGAAATATTAAAAAAAAATTTAAAAAACCACATTTTGTAACAAAAACTCAATTAATGAATTCAATCTAAACAGAACTAAAATCATACAAAAATTCTAGGCTAACTAACCATATAATAAATCACATCATATTACCTGACAACGGCTACGGTAGCTGTAATGGATGGACGCATAAAAATAATAGTAATAACACTATTCTTGAATGGGAAAAACAAAAAATAATAAAAGCCAAACAAATGATCTGTAAAAATAAAATCATTTAAATTTTAATACCTGTAATTGCACCACCACAACGGCCGAAGCAAGATCAATGAGAATTTTTTTTCCTTTGTGTTTATATAGAGAGGTAACGAGAATATTTTTTGAAGTCGAAATTTTATCCGATTAGGATGTAGTTGATCATCACTAATGAAAATATTGAACATGCTAATTGGAATGGAGTATATTTCACCATATATTCTCAACTGTGATTGATGAGGAATTTGTTTTTTTTATTGTGGAGAAGGGATTAATTAGGGAGTCCATTGTGGTAGAGATGGGGATGAGGATTTGGGTTTTTTATGAACCCATGGTTTTTTCTTTTGGCGAAAATAGGAGGTGGAGGTGGATTTGGACTGTATTTACCTTTTAAGTCTAGGAGATGTGAAAATAAAAATTTATTTTAAAAATATGATGTGAAAATGCCACATGGCAAATGGTGGTGCTTTCTCTTAAGTGTGATTTTTGTTTCTAATATAGTAAGATATATATATATATATATATATATATATATATATATATATATATATATAAAAGTGACTTGTAGTAATGCCCTTAGCTTCCTACTAATATTTACCAAAAATTGTCCTTTTTGTTTCAGTGTATCCGAGATGAGAAATTGAATCCGTCAGTATATGATCCCATCTTACGTCCTTTGGTGCAACAGTGTGTACCAATGTTACACGCATTGTGGGCAGATGATGAATCTGAATATGAGGGCGCCGGGAGTGGATCATATAATAGAGATCAGTTGATGGATCATCATCATTCTAATGGATTGGAGGACAGGGATGACAATGACAACTACTACTATACAGAACTGAAGAAAGCATACGATAAAGATGAGGACGGCCATAGAAATTTCAAGGCAAATGGTTGCTGCTGCTATTCGGGGCCGTACAACGACAACAAATATGAAGATGATTATCATTACTGTATTGTCTAAGGTTTTGACTTTTCTTCTCCTCCTCCTCCTTCTTCTTCTTCTTATTATTATTATTAATAGGCTTAATCTAAATTTTGAAATTAATCGTGCCCATGTATATCATTTATCGATAGTCTCATTATAATATCAATATAAAATGGCTAAAGTAATACTCCCTCTAGTCCTTATCACAAGGCATTTTTATTTGTCATAAATTTCACCAATTATGTTTCTCAATTGAAAAAAAAAAATAAAAAATTATTTCTTAATAATTAAGAAAACACAATGAATGTAAAACTGTATCTTTCTACGTAAAACTTAGAACAAATCAAAATGGGTGGTGATTTCGCCACAATAAATTCTAGCGTACAGTACATACATTCCCTTTCTTTCCTCAATTTCCCTTATGAAGTCAAAGACTTTATCTTCAATCTGATCAACGCCTCAATATTCTCTCGATTCTCATCTCTTTCAATTTTCCTCCCACATAACCAGTAATAATTAGTTTCCCTCTAAAAGCATGAGCAATTCCTCCCTGCAGACATCAGCTACTACCAATATTAATAATAGGAATAACGATCGTCTGCATCTTTGGTGAGAAACTTCACTTTTTTTTATCATAGCTCTTGGGAAGCAAATGCTGATTAATGAACGTAAACTGTAAATCGTAAATAGTTGTATAATTACTTTTACGATTAGGATTTTAGGTCAACTTAATCTGTATAAATATGTTATACCGGCATCAATACAATTGTGTTTTTACCATCATTTATTTTCTATATGGTATCAAGAGACTAGGTTTCTTTACAAACCCTAAAATCAAGTTTTCGGCCGCCGATCCCACTTTTTTTTTTTCTGGCCGTCTCTCCTTCTTCAACGATGGCTGA